TTTTGGCGGGGAATACCCGTCCCCGATTGGGGCGGGTCAACCGGGTTCCCCACCGGGTCGGGTGAAATTTCATCCCTAGTTTTTATAAAGATCAATAGATTTTATATATATGAGAAAAGTTTCTATACGTATAAATAACATTTTATATAAATCCTTAAAAACAAGTGTATATATACGTATAAAAATGTATGTGTAAAAAAATGTAATTAACTGTATAAAAACATGTTTAGCACGTGTATATGTATTTATTTTATATAGAACATATTTTTATTCATGCAAATATAAAAAAAAACTTAATAAATATGTAGAAAAATGTATTTATATATTTTTTATGTATAAAAAATATTTTTATATGTCAAGATAATGTTTTATACATTTTTATGTATGTTTTTATACAAAATAAATAATATTATAATATGTAGTTTTATGTAAAAATATATAAAATTTGTATTTATATATAAATACGTATATAATAATAATAATAATAATAATAATAATAATAATAACAACAACAACAACAATAATTACGTATATAACATTTATATGTATAATTATGTATATAACGTTTTTATGCGTATAATAATAATAATAATTACATATATAACATTTTTATAATAATAATAATAATAATAATAATAATAACAACAAGAAAACTTGCATGTTACATAATAAGTAAAATGATTTCAGGAAGTTTTTCAGAGCCCAGTTGCGGAGCTTGATATTTTAATTTGTGGGGGCTAAAAATAGAATACGTATAAAAATTGAAGAACAGGAAGGGCCAAAGTGAAATTTTATAGTTTTAGGCATAATATGTAACTTTTGTCAAAGTTATGGACTAATTATAAAAAAAAATAGAGGGGGCCACAACCCCCTCCGGCCCTATCTAAGCACCGCCAATGTCAGAGCCCCTCTCTTTACATAGGCAACTGTGGTAACATGTTCACCAATTGTTGTCTCTTTTATATCCTCAGATGTTGCATCTTGTGAACTTGTAACATCATCCCTTAAACCTTTTCCTGACACATAAACCTCTTGTTCCTTTTCTCCATCTTCAACTTTGCTTGCTATATCGTTCTCATTCAAATCGATATTAACACTGTTAGAAAGTTTTAATCCTTCTTCAGATTCAACCTTCTCTGAGACAGTTTCTTCACACACTTCCTTCATCATGGTCTCTGTATTAGAACTATCAGAGTAGTTCACCTCTTCTTTATATTCAATTTTCTCTGAACTAGCCTCTTCACATATGTGACATCCCCATTTTCACGGCCAGAAAAGACGGATTTTTGTTTATGCTTGTTTGAAAATCAGAATAACATTTTAAATAAAAGTGTTGCGGAATTTGTCCCAAAACAAAATATGAT